TCACCCATTTTTTCTTCCCAATACACGTCAAAGGGGGCAACAGGAGGCCCTACCACTCACGCCCGATGCTAACACCAAACTGAGGTACACTTGCTCTCGTCCCACGCGACAGGCCGTCTCGCGGTGACCAAGTATCCTATTTAATAAATGATTTATACCTACATTTGGTCGTCTTAGAGAGCATGTAGCATTTGCATATGAGGCTTTATACAGTCAGGAATTCATTCATATAAAACATTTCGAATAATTGTGAAAATGTGTACCATGTTTTATATAAAACACAACATGCTGCCTTCGGTTAGCAGGCAGTCTTTAAACCCATTACCAACGACAATTTTCTACTGCAGAACAAACTTTCATCTGCCTACCATCCACCCACGTGCGAATTCCCCAGACCAATTTCGATTTCTAGGTCCATTTATTTCTTATTTAAGAACGAAACACCGACGCCATGCAAGGCAAGCCCAAAAGGGAAACAGAGACGAGCTTGGGACGAGACTAAGGGTGTCTGGCTTACCTCGGGCAATTCTCGGGTTCGTCTCGGAGCAAAAATATATATCACTCACCCTTTCATCCCGGGCTGCACTTATCATTTCGCTCTCGAACTACACTGACTCTCCGACACAGAAACGACCCAGAGTCACCGACGAGGTTATGACTCTATGACCCGTCTCTATGGGATGCTGCGGAGTTGGGGCTGCATGTCATATGTCATGCGTTACTGTGTATGTACGTCCTTACTTCCAATGGAAGCATATGATCAACTCATAGCATAAAATCTCTTGAACTCAAACTAAAATAAAAATAGCTCCATTTCTATCATTGCTTATCGGCATACGTATTCAAAAAGAGCACAAGAAGTCGTTCTGCTCTCCGCGTTTCGACAGGTTACTATTTCAAAAAACAATTTCTTCTGTCTGTTTATTGTCCGCGCGCAATAAACACCTTTTCAAAATATACTAAGTGGTACCTCACCAGGTCAGCCAAGGTTATTTACCTTACCTCAAGTGACAGTAAGGCAAAACCTGGTTCCCGTGTTTTCAAGTCCTACGCGCGAGATATCTGTTTACGCTTTAGGCCATGGGCTTATTTCAGTGCAGATCTTTGCCGAGGACATCCCGGTAACCTACCATCGTTTCGGATTTACGGCTTACTTCTTCTAGGGAAAAAGTGCACACATGAACCTCCGCCACGTGGACTTCTCTCCCGCCAGCGGCTGACAGGCAGCGCTGCCCCGGGCTTCCCATCATAACAAAGCGCCAATGCCCCGCGGCAACAGCGAGGCACACGATGCCCTCCTGTGGCTACAGCGCCTTTCGTCAAAGGCCCCGAGACGCTCTGTGCAGCGTCGCACACCGACCCCTTCAGGCCAATTCCCGCTCGTGCTGCGGACGAGAGTCGCCCCCAAGGTCACTGCAAAGGGAAGGAGGGGGGGGGGAGGTCAAAGTAGCAGCCTTTCACGCCCTCACAGCCATCTGGCGCAGGAGTCAAGGCTGCAGGGGACGACGGGGCGTCCCGTGCGCGGAGGGGCGGCCGCCAGATTAGTTGCTCGCGAGCCGTGTCAAGCAGGACGTGTGAATGTCCCGGGTGACGGCGGCTCCGTGAGCGCCAATGTCCTCGCCCGCCTTAGCTCCTCCACGCCCGACGACGCTAGCTGACGAAGGCCCCCATACGCCCGCGGGCGCTCAGCCGAGTCCACGCTCCGCCGTTCGCTGACACGGGATCTTTCTGTCGCAGCGAGGACTTCCTGTCCGCCTGTGTGATCTCTGTTCAGTCACGAGCAGCTTATAATTCTACCCAGAGAAAACCAAAGGCTTTCAAGCCATGGCAGTGCAATCAGGGCGACGGTTATCCACGCTCTCCGCTCTCAAGATCGAGATCACAGCACCGACTGCAATGAGTACAGACGCGTCGCCCAGTCATGGCTGCGAGAAAAACTTCGCTCCCACCAACTTCCGTCGACGCAGCAGAAAGATGGCTGTGAAGCGCATCGGACAACCGTAGCGTTCGTCTCTGGGATTGCTGCCTTTGAGGACCGAGAGAGTATCACGCATCTCATTTCGAAAGCAACTCTCTCCGTGAACATGCAAACGCATCTACACATTCTACAAACACGACACAATACAAGATATTTCTATGTACCAGATGCCTCAGCTTTAAATTTAGTAACGTGAGTCACGCATTATAACATTAACGAGATGGCACTTAAATTTTAACAGAGGGGAGCCTGACGTCACCATAGGAGCCTCCAGCGCGGCACAACCCACTCCCGCCTCCGTACCTCACGACTGCGAGGAAAAGGCGCTTCGCTTTGAAAACTTTGCAGATTGCATAGTGAGTGTATGTGCAAGGGAGGGGAAGGGGAAGGAGAAAGAGAAAACGAAAGAAAGATAGAGGGGAAAGGGGAGGGAAGGAGAGAGAAAAGAGAGAAGAGAGAGAGAGAGACAGAGAGAAAAGAGAGAGAAAAGAGAGAGAAAAGAGAGAGAGAGAGAGAGAGAGAGAGAGAGAGAGAGAGAGAGAGAGAGAGAGAGAGAGAGAGAGAGAGAGAGAGAGAGAGAAGAGAGACAGGAGAGAGAAGAGAGACAGGGAGAGAGAAAGAGAGACAGGGAGAGAGAAAGAGAGACAGGGAGAGAGAAAGAGAGACAGGGAGAGAGAAAGAGAGACAGGGAGAGAGAAAGAGAGAGAGATGACCGCATGGAGTTCCCACAAAAACGGTTTCCACCAATAAAGATCAGCGCCGCCCCCACTGGCTGCTCGCACGCCGCACTCGCTCGTCCGAGGAGCGAGCGCTGCAGGTGCGGGCTGCGGTGCCGACCCAGGGCCTGCACAGGTGTTGCAGGATCGGCATCGGATGGCTGCCGGTGGCACTCGTGGCTCCTTTGCACGCCTGTGCGGAGGCACACCATAGCCAAGTCCGGCGGGCGTGTCCGCACAATGAGTGTCACAGAGCTTCTCTGAGAAGGCTCCTTGTCTGGCACAAACGCCCCTCTCTCGCCGCACTCACGCATTATTGATTGCAAATGAATGAGCTTTTCCACGCACTTGACCCTTGGCTACCTGTCGAGGACCGAGCGCCGTCTGGCCGAGATAAATGCACAGAGACAGACTCACGGGCCGCCGCCCCGGCCGTCCCGAAGGCGCAGGAACAGGCGCCACACTCACTCGCCCTCGCTCGCCGCCCACCCCCTCTTGACGCCCGTGAAGGAGCCTTAAAGGGTCCATTGGAAAGGTTACTCCCGAGTGCAAGGTGAGGCCCTTGTGGCCGAGGTGTGAGTGGCCGCGCTGCTCTTGCCTCGGAAGAGGACGAGGTTAAGTGCGATCAGCCTGGGCGCGAAGCCACGTCGGCCTCGATGAAGGGGCAGGCACATCGGCCAGACGCACCTGCACGGACAAGACGAAGTCCTCTCCATGAGCCCCCTCAGTTAAGCTCTTACAACTGGGAGCTCCTTTGTCCGCGGGAGCCGGACAAGGGAAACGGCGTAAAATATAAACACAAGGTGAAGTCTCTGCGCCTCAGAAGATCTGAACTATTGGTGGGAGCGCTGGGTGAGCCCCGTTAATACTGACCAATGCCCTCCCATGGGTCTGAGCCTGGGCATTCACAGGGCGCGCCCGCTGCCACGTCTAAATCGTGAACTGTGACATTCAGGGCCCCCCGAAATGTTGACTTTGGTGGCACTTGCAATATATACTAAAGCCTTGTTTGAAGGTTTAACCCTTGGTTTCACAAAGCAGAAAATCTATCCCTTGAAGACAAAGAATGATATATTTCAATTAGGACCAAAACTTGAGGAATGTTCCCCTCTGGTTCAAAAACAGAGCAAGCTCTATAGCTCATCTCCTTCGGCGAAGCTGCTCCCGACGGCTGTTTATGGTGTCTGCACGCACGCCCGATCGGTTTGCGTGCGCTTGTGCACGCGTTTGATTTTGCCTGAGACCGTTTTGTTAACTTTATTTCTTTATATGAGAATGAAACTGTGAAGCGACACTAATCATGTCGCTGCACGAGACAATGTGCGCTGCGCTTTACATTCATCAGTGCCATTACAGCGCGACATTGAAATTGCACGCTGACATTTTCAAATAACGAAGCATGTGTGTTGACACCCTCCGAGCGTGACCTGTACCGAAGGGCCTTGCGCGCAGTGGTCGTGCTTGACCCATATGTACGCGGGGGCAAATGATGCTTCAGAAAGAGCAATCAAACGGAGATGACGCCCTGGCCGGCGGCGGCGAGCATTGCGCAACCCCCTAACGGCCGCTCGGCGAGCGGTTCCCCACACTCGGAGCTGCTTAAAGAACACCGACCGGACTAAAAGCAGAAGGCGATGATAATAGTGTGATTGTAATGATGTTAATGGCAGTTATTACGACCAAGGCAGCGCCCCGGCCGCCCGTTGCCACTTTGTCTCTTGCGAGAAGCCGCGAGTGAAAGCACGGGAAGCACTAGGTCACGACACATGTGTGGGCAGAGGAGTGGGCTGCGATAACGGAGTCCTGCTGAGTGAGGAGGGAACTTAACGGGTCTCAACTGCTCGTCTTGCACTCGCGAAATAAAACAAGTGCTTGCATCAATGCCCGCTAAGCCTCTTACCCTTTCTCCCTCTCTCCCTTTCTCCCTCCCTCCCTTTCTCCCTCTCTCTCTCCCTCCCTCCCGGTTTCCTCCGCCATGTTTCCTTTTGGCAGAATAACTCCCGAGGCCACTGCGAGGGGAAGGTCACTCCTCGTGTTCACTACTTCTCTCATCCGCGCCCAAAGGTGCCATGCGGATCCTATCAGGATGCGCTGAGGCAATAAGCACGAGCCCACCTTAGCTGCGCCTGCTCTGCGCTGGCGGAGCGCCGGACGCGCTTGGCAGTGTTCACGGCTCGCAGATGCGCCCGGAACAACCCAAAGGGAAAGGCCGCGGCCGCCGCTCGGAGGAACACCCGACACTTGCATCAGGGAAGACCCCTCCACCCCCCGTCCCGCTCGCTCGCTCGTTCTCCCCTCTTTTCTCT